GGGGCCCCGCGCTGCGCATCCCGCCCGTGGCGCCGTCCATCCTGCAGTGCCGCGTGCTGCAGGTCTCCTACTCGCTCAAGGTGCGGAGGGGGCGCGGGGTGGGGGTCCGGGAGGGGCGCGGGGTGGGGGTGAAGCCGTGCAGGCGCCCATCCTTCCTCTCTCTAACACCCCCCAGGTCTGCGTGGACATCCCCGGCACGTCCAAGCTGCTGCTGGAGTTACCCCTGGTCATCGGCACGGTCCCCCTCCATCCCTTCGGCAGCCGCTCGTCCAGCGTGGGCAGCCAGGCCAGCTTCCTGCTCGACTGGGTGCCGGGCGCCCTGCTGGGGCCGCTGGAGGGTGAGGCGCCTGGGGGTCCCCAGGTCCGGGCTGTGAGGGGCTCCCGTCGGGATCCCCTCAGGTAGGAGGGTTGCAGCACAAGGCCCATCTGGGCAAAAATTTGAAGGTGTCCCAGAGAAACACCTAAAGGAAGCGAATGTGTGGCTCAAGTGGTAGAGCAGTGACGAAAGCCCTGTGCTCAAACCCCAGTGCTGCCTGATTTAAAATGACGGGGTCCCCCCCGCGGGGGCTGGACACCCCCTCACCCGCCGCCGCTTGCAGCTCCTCCTGCCTATGCCGACGTGGTGACGGAGGAGGTGGCGACGGCGCCCAGCGCCTTCCCGCGGCCCCCGGACCCGGGCCTGGGCCTGGACGGCCCCTACCTGGCCTATGTGCAGGAGTTCCGCCTCCGCCCGCCGCCGCTCTACTCGGAGGTGAGCTGCGGGTGTGGGAGAGCCGGGCCGGGCGCAGGGCGGGCGGGGGCTGCGGGGGCTGACTGGCCTCCCTCCCAGGAGGACCCGAACCCACCCTCGGAGGCCACCAGCGGGCACTGCAGGACCTGCTGAGCGGCCAGCAGCGGCCGCAGGGCGAGGTTGCAGGGCGGCCATCGCCCCGCCCAGCGCAGCCGGGCGGCTGAGCAAGTCAGCGCCCAGGAGAGTCGCCGGGCGTCTGCTTCCTGTGCCCGCCCCCGGGCAGTGTGGGCTCCCCAGGAAGGACAAAGCCGGTGTGGACACTTGGGGCTTCTTGGGGGGAAGGGCATTTTACCTGAGGCTTTGACACGGAGGCGGAGGAGGCAGGGGCTTCCCAGGGCTCTGCCCTGCTCAGGGGCGCCGGCTCCACCCCGGGGTGGCCTTGAGGAATGAGGGCCACAGGTCCTGCCAGTGGGGACTTCTGACACCAGAGCCCCGGGGGAGTGCAGGGCCAGAGCCCCCGCGCCCAGCAAGCTTCTTCCGGAACCCAGGTCCTGGGTGGGCTGAGAATTTCAAGTTGGACTGGCAGAGCAGTGTGCCAGGCCTGGGGTGGCACGCGGGGGCCGGGGCGGGAGGGGGGGACGTCCACGGTGGGGGGACAGCCACCCCAGGTCCACCTTCCCGGCCGCCTGGGCTGGGCAAGTGTGCCACGGGCACAGAGCCGAGAAGGGCGGGGCAGGAACTGGCCTCAGGCTGGGCAGCGGAGGGGTCCCAGGAAGGCCCTGCACAGAGTTTGGGGGCCATCGTTTTTATTGACTTAAACTTCACATAAAAAAAGCAACCATTTCAAAGCATCTGTAGCATTCGCATTTCATAATGCATCACAGCCTCTTCTGGAACATTCCATCCCCTCAGTGTTGGCTCTCTGTCCCCTCCCAGACCCAGAAAGACACTGATCGGCTTCCTGTCCCCCCCCCCCGGGATGGCACGCAGGGCCGTTGGCTTGGCCATCACTGGTGTCCTGGGTTCAGGGGTCACCCATGAGGCACCGGCGTCGGGCCACATTCTTCCGTGGCCAGGTGACACATGGTTGTCTTGGACGATCTCCTTTCTTTGGTCTCGGCTGGACGCAGCAGGGCTTCTCCCGTTGCCACCGAGCTTCTAGGCGGCAGGTGAGGAAAGCCCTGCCCAGCTCTGCCCTTGGGGCCGGGGCTGGCCGGGGACCCCGTGCCACAGACGAGCGCTGCATGTAGAGATGGGGTCCAGGCGGCGCCTTGGCCCCGCTGAGAGGTCGCGGCCCCCGACCTCCAGTGTCCAGCTGCATCTCAGGTCGACCGAGAGGTCACTGTCCCCAGCGTCCACGCTTGGACCTAGCTGGCCTCGGTCTCAGGTCCCAGGGGGACGACATGCCGGGTCCCAGTCCCCCCACCTTGTGTCCTGTGGAGCCCCTCTCGCACTGGTGCATCTGGTTGGGGCTCAAAGCTCTGGCGGCCGGGCCTGTTTCCCCAGCAGCGCTGCCCTGGTGGTGACCGGGCAGCCAAGGGGCCTCCATTGGGGTGGACGAGACCCAGGGCAGCCTCGATTCCAGGCAGGACAGCTGTGCTGGCCCCACCTGCGGGGAACGGGACGGGGCACTGCAAACGGTCTCCAGAGAAGGCGGGATGCGCCCTGCAGGCCTGAGATCTGGGCCGTGGAGTCCCTGCCCTGCAGACCCAGGGCCGGAGCAGGCCGGGCGGCAGAGTGCAGCCTCAGCCCGCTGTCCCGCCAGCCCGTGTCTGCCCCTGCGGCAAGGGTGCAGCAGGCTGGGTGCGTTCTGGCTCCCTCCCGCTGGCCAGCGGCCACGGCCTGGCGCCCTGGCCACCGCCAGACACATTGTGTCCCTGTGGCTGGCAGGCACGTCCCCAGCCAGCTCTGGTGACCGGGACACTGTCCCGGGCACACTCCCCCCTCCATGGCCTCCCCCCCACCCCTGGCTTGGACTACACCCCGGCATCCTCTGGGCTGTCCAAGGACCACAGGCCCTTTGCACCTGCTCTCAGGCCCCAGCTTCCCCTAGGTCTCCCGGCCACAAATGCAGGTCCTGCTGGCCGCTCCCCTGCTGTGGCCGTTCCTCAGGGTGACTCTGTGTGTGTCAGTGTGTGTGTGTATGTGTGTGTGTGTGTGAGAGAGAGAGAGAGAGAGAGACAGAGAGAGACAGAGAGAGTCCTGGGACTTGAACTCGGGCCAGGCCGGCGCTCTGCCGCTTGAGTCACAGCTCTCCTTTTCGGTGGATCATTGAGGACAAGAGTCTCGGGGACTTTTCTGCCCAGGCTGGCTTCGAACCGCGACCCCAGGCGTTGGCGTTGGGGCTGCAGGCGGGGTTAGACCGGTGGGGGGGCGGCACCGGGCCTGGGGGCCCCGGAACGGGAGGGGAAGCCGAGGCCGCCCGCACCCCGCACCCGCAGGGTCGCCCACCTCCGCCTGCCCGCCCTGTTTTGGTTTCGGCGGGATGGAGCCGGCCGGGCCGGTTTCCTGTCGGGCAGGTCGGTCGGCCCGGGCCTGGCAGAGGTGGGGAGCCCTGACCGGCCCCCGCCCCGTCCCCCCATCCCCCCGCGAACCACTCAAGAAGGGAGCCGAGGGAGGCCGAGGTTAGAAGGGCCCGAGAGCTGGAAGGGGCCACACGGAGGGAGGCCGCGGCGGCGGGACCCGGGGCCCAGGCTGCTTCC